TGTATGATATTTACACATGTGGGCCTGGTTTATTTCACTTATGAATATATCTTCAACTGGCATCCACTTAAATATGAAGTCCTTGAGTTTATCATTCTTTATAGCTGAGTAATACTCCATTGTATAAAAATATCACATCTTTTTCATCCATTCTTCAGGTGATGGGCATCTTGGTTGTTTCCAAGGTTTGGCTATCACAAATTGTGCTACTATAAACATAGGTGCACATATATCACTATGATATGACGTTTTCAGCTCCTCTGGGATGTATGATTTTAAGATATGGCAAATTCATATATTATAGATACAAATTAGCTATTTGAATCAATACATGTGTGATTGCATACCTCTGCCTTGTGTTGCTTCTTGGTTTGTCTCCTTCCTTCTGACATTGATAGTTTTTTTCTGAATTTTGTGATATAAGTCACATCTGGGCAAGCTAGGGGGTTTTTTTTCTTTACAATAGGATACTTTTTTGAATTTTTCCTCTAGTCACTACTTGTCCATTTAATATTAACTGTGGGAAGTTTAATTTGCAACAACATTTTATCAACAGGTCACCACCAGAAACTTCAGTGTGGACACACTTTTTGTGAACTGTGCTTGTTAATAACTGAAGAAAGCAGAATTATATGCCCTGATTGTGAAGTAAGTTTTATGATTTTTCTTCATCTTTTTGTTGTTGTTGTTTTGCCATGTAATTTAGGCTGGCCTTGAACTCAGAGCTGTCCTCCTGCCTTAGACTTTCAGGTGCTCAGATTACAAGGCATATACCATTAATTCCAACTTAGTTTTTTGTATTGAATAGATTATAGCCTAATATTAAAAGTAAAAAATGTTAGAGAAGTAAAACATCTAATTAAAAACTAAAACATGTTTTCCTGCTGAGTCTTTAAGCAAAGAAGCCTAAGTAGGCATCTTTAATATCCATTTGATAGTTGCTCACAATGATCAAAAAAAACACCACCAAACCAGAAGTGCCCTGAAGGCAACTTCAGGCCGCCAAAAAAAAAAAAAAAAAATCCTTCTACCAGCCAAAGTCATACATATTGCCAACATATTTTGACTCTTTAGAGACCTCTGTGGAAAATGACTATTTCGATGGAGTGTATTCCTTTCAAGTCCCTACCCTTCCCTACCTCTTCCTTTTTTGTACCAGTACCAGGCATGCAAATTTTGACCTCTCCCTGTTCCTTATTCTGTGTGTCATCAAATTTACATTTGTAGAGGTGCCATACTATGAAAAGGCACAGAAGCAAAACAACTACCTAACATCGATATTTGCTTCAGAAATGCTAAATACAGGACAAATCCACTAGAACTAAAACCTATCAATCTGTAACAGTCTGTAAAAATGAAAATGCAGTATACCAAGCTGGTGGTCCACATTTGTAATCCCAGGCAGGTGAATCATCAGGAGTTTAAGGCCAGCATGGGCTATGTCCAAGGTCAGGCTTCACTACAAAGCTAGACCCTGTCTCAAAAATAAAAACCAAAAATAAATAAAAATTTTTAAAAATTTGGTAGATATCTTTTACATTTACTATAAATACAAATGTAGTTTATACATATTCTAGAAAATAGTTGGCTTAAACTGTATTTTTTTGATGAGGAATTGAACCCAGGGTTCTTGCATGAAGTTACAGTCATAGTCCATTTTGATTTTGAGACAGGCTCTTACTTAGTTCTAAATGCCCATCCTGGGGTAGAACTTGTGATCCTTCCATAGTATTTGTGATCCTTTCACCTTAGTCCTCCAGAGCGTGGGGATTGTGGGCAGTTTAATCTGTAAATTTTTAACATGCCACTATAGAGATAGATTATATTTGTATCCAGTGGTTTTTTTTGGCAGTGTTACAGACAAATGGGAACACAATACCTAAAAGGCGATTCTTGTTAGCCTCTTCTGAGCTCTCTCACTTGTGAGATGGAATGATAGCCTGTTTTACATATCCCATGGGATTGTGAGAATAATGTCTGGATGATTTATAAGTTCTCTATAAGCTTCCAGGCCATTAAAATAATCATTATTTAGGTGTGGATGGTTTATATAGAAAATAATACTATAATTTGTGAAAATTTTTAAAACATTCACACATTAAAATCAGCCTATAGCGCTGGGGATATAGCTCAGCAGCATGGGGCCTGCCTGACAAGCAAAAGGTCCTGAATTCAAATCTCAGTACCCAAAAAAACCCAGCTTTTTGGAATTATATACTTTACAAAATATTCCCTTTATTATGGGAAATTCGTGTCCCCTCTTTTTTGACATGGTATTCTTCAGATGGGATAGGTACATCTTTCAGACAAAGGGAATCCCTATTCTCTACCCCACAATTGGATAAAAGATCCTGACAGATTCAGTGGTGTGGTTGGATAAGCACCAGGAAAGGGAAAGAACAGACAGATGGGATCATCTGTGCCATATTTCCTGTTCTAATGCTAAAACATAAGTAACAGTAAGTAGGCCTTACTGATTTCATATTTAGTGGTCTTAATAACTTGCAATAGGAGTGTTTATAGGGCATTTGCAAATCATGGTTTTGATTTTAGAGTTGTAATAAATCTACTTTGTATCATTTTCACTAGTTTTATTCTAGCTCTCACTTTAGGAAATGGCTTGTCCCAGCCCCAAACCCAAGCCTTGGCAAATGAGTATGTTCTGATTGATTGATTGATTGATTGATTGATTGATTGATTGATTGATTTTGGGAGTCAGAACCAGGGATTTAACTCAGCCCCTTGCACTTGCCAGGCAAGCACTTATTCTACTGAGTCATCTCCCTGGCCCCTAGATTTTTTTAAATGCACTGTTCTGATCCCTACTTAAAAGAGTCCTTTAAGAAAATTTCCTAACTTTTTAAATTTGAGATTTTTGTTATTACCCAGTATCTATTTGAAATAAGGTATAGAGCGAATAGAAAAATAGGATTTAACTTTATAATCCACCCACCTCAGTGATAGAAGGAAAGGATAAGTTGTTCAATCAAAACATAATTAATACATATTAAAATTTCATATGATTAGAAATGTTACTATCTAACCATTACAAATGTAAACTAGAAGAAAGTACAAATAAATCTATGGCCTTGGACAGGGAAGCTTTTTTAAGCGTATTATGGAAGTCAGAAGCCATAAAAGAATCATTTGTCAAGTTTGACCATGTTTTTTTAATTTCCAATGGGCAAAAACAAGAAAAAATATCATAAAATGTAAATGACAGACTGAGAGTCTCTTCTCACTTTTGATTTTATTAAAGTTAGGCATTCAGAATGTTTCCTTTTTTTGTTTTTGTTGTTGTTGTTGTTGTTGTTGTTGTTGTTCTTGTTTC